ATTTTAGCTATGCCCGGAGGTATAGTCTTTCAGATGTTGATTAACAATGGACAACAGTGGCTGAATGAACTTAGAGGAACATGATTTTAACCCTTAGGCTGTCTTCCTTCCAAAATATACTAATGGAATTCTCATTTTTCTCTAGATAAAACCTTAGAATTACTTGGGGGTTAATTTAAAGCAAAAGTTAAGACTAATCAGACATGGAATATCTGCTGCACACCTTAACTTTACACCAGTCCTTGAGACTAGAGCCATATGCCTTGCTAAAGTCCACCCAGGACCCTCATGCAGCACCTGCTTTTTTCCTGAGTCAGACTCCTGTACCCTTCAAGGCTCTGATTAATGAAGAGACCCCTCATAGCAACAACGGAGGGGTATCCTGTCCACGGTGACTTGCTATCTGTCGCAGAAATATTGCTTCCTCTCCATCTTGGAATCTACTCCTGAGCATTGGGGATTTAACCGCCTACATGCTGCAAACCTGTGTAGCTATTTAGTCTCATTATGTCCTCTGGAGTTCAGACACCAATTGCTAAATGGCCACCTTCATCCAGAGGGTCAGGCCTAGAGAATGTTGAAAAATCTCCCATGGACACACAATGCAAATCTGTGCCTTGATACTCCTTGCAGGAGAGTAAGCTGCTGGAGGATTGCTCAGCAAAGAGCTGGTCTACTGCTGACCCCTGCCTTGCCTGGCAATCTCTCATCCTACCAGTCTTCTCTGTCAAGACAGTTTAACTGAAATATAGTATGTAGTGGTAGAGACCCCAGCTTCTTTGGTTCATATGGATCCAGCCCAACTGACAACTAGCATCAACTGGAACACAGCTAGATGACCACTGCATCATCAGTCTGCTGGGACCAAGGTGGCAATGGCTGCCCATGGCCCCACTGAAGAACAGTGATGTTCTGCCATTTTCTTCTACTGACACCCAGCTGAAGGTCACGGAAATAAAACCTAAGGAAGGATAGAAGCTATCAAGGGGTCATCTAAATCAGCCCAGACACCACTCCGGGGACAGCTCCGGGTTTGAGTTATGCCCACCATCTTTCTACCCCTTTGTGGAAGCTTCCTCAAGCCCAGTAGCTAAAGAGTAGCACATACTCACATTTCTTCTTCTCCTCACTCCTCAAGATCCCCAGAGCCATTCCTCGCATCTGGAAATTCTGTGTTCCTGTCAGTGGTGTTCAATTTATGTCCATCCCAGACGGCTGGGGTGTCTGAAAAACACCCCCGTATAGTAATATACAGAAGCTCCAGACAAAGCCAAGAGGGAGCCCTAGCTAGCTGGTGCACTGCTCCTGTGGACCACCTCCAGAGAAGATGGGAACCTTCAGTTAATCACCTCCAAATCCTCAAATCTAGGAGAGAGGCTTCAAATGCTGACTTCAGACAGAAGTCTTTCTAAATCATCTCCGAAGTTCCTGGAAGAGTCTCCTCTCATGGGGCAGCTTCATGATGAAAGTATCTATAAATCAAAAGCTGAGAGAGCAGCAGAGGGTCTGAGCCAGAGGTGGGACCAGACTCAGTGTCCCCTCGTTTCTTTCCTTTGTGATATCTAATACGTTCACCTAGGTGGGCACAATCTGAGAAGAAGAATGGCGTTGCATGTGTGCACAACACTGACTCTGGAATGTAGGCATGTTGAGCAAGCATCAGCTCTCACTACAAGCATTGCCTCACGGCGTCTCTCACAAGCCCTGGAAGCAGGACAGCTTTTTGTCAAGTGCTTAGATTACAGGGGTGCCTTTAAATCTGTATCTATTGCTCAACTTCCCCACACCATCCAGGGACCATTGACAGGCCAGGAGAGGAGTTCTATAAGTCAGACAGCCCTAGATCTCCTCCTTGGAGTACTCCAAGGGCCCTGAAAAAGTGCCTCCTGGAAGTCCTCACAGCGTTCACCTGGGTTCAGGAACTAGTCATTTAGAATCACATATTCCTCCCTCTGATCTGGAGATCATGAGTCATCCACATGTCCCTACCCTAGTATTCATACGGGCTCCAGGCCTTCATCGCCTCTCTCGGTGCGTATCTTCCTCCTGTGTGATCTGTTGCTAGAACACATTTCTCGGCTTGGAGCTTGGAGTCTCTCTGTCTCTCTCTGTCTCTCTCTGTGTCTCTGTCTCTGTCTCTGTCTCTGTCTCTGTCTCTCTCTCTCTCTCTCTCTCTCTCCCTCTCTCCACCCACTGTACTCCACAAATATATACATATATATCCCATCACTGTTCTGAGCAATCAGTTCCCTTCCTGGCACACTCTCTATGACTTCCTGATGAGATAAGACTTTCTGTCACCAGGACTTTTCTAGAACACACACAGGTTCCTGAGCCCCTCTCCGCATCAGGTTTTCTGCCTTCCTTCTGTCCTTCCCTCCTCTGCCTCTCACTGGCCTGTTGAAAATGAAACTCCTGGGCCTTCCAGCAGTGCTCAGGGAGTGTTGCCCTATTTTTTCTCTGGGCATGTTAGTGATGTAGGGTCGAACTTGAATGTCTAGGGCCTCACTTCCTTCTCATCCAAGTCCTATTTTAGGGTCTAGCCACTGCTTCCCAGCAGTTTTTCTCTAAACTGCAAGTGATCTGGGGAACTCTGCCAAGACAGACTTCTCTCTCTGCCCCATGGGACTCCACAAATGGGATTAATGGGCTTAGGCCCACTTTGTGGTTTCTTCTAAAGGGCTCATACCGGGATTCCTCTTCCATTTTGCTTCTGCAACAGACTGCTTTTCTCACACCATCACCTCGGTGCCATTTTCCAGATCACTGAAGAGGGCAGTTCAGTGAAATAGGGTTTTGAGGAATGCCCTAATTTTATGACCTTTAGTTCTCTACCTGTCCCACTATGAGCTTAGAACACTTAGGAAAAAGCTGTGAGTTGAGTCAGTTCAGAAACAGCCCATTCTGTCAGACAAAGCACATCCTGTGTTGACCTGAAGCCTACTGTGTCTACTGGAAGCCTGTTGCAATCTCGTGACAAAGCAGATCTCAAGTGTAACAGCTCCCAAAGCCATCCCACTGCTGCTTGTTGTCTCATGAGACAGAACCCACCCTTGTCACTCCTTATCCAGACTAGGAGATCCATAGAGGCAAAGTGCAGCCTGCCCTTGAGCCCCTTGTTAGAAGTAAGTGGGACTTCCCCAAAAGTCCCAATGCATGATATCTAATTCCTAAAGTATGGACTGGGAAGAGGAGGCCATGGCCAAGGTCAGTGGACTAAACTGTCCTTACCAACCAAGGCCAGGAAGAAGTCTCCTTTTTAGTAGAGGGGCATGAGACACAAAGCAAAATAAGTCACTATGGCTGGGGAAAGGCAAGTGACAGCTGTGGTGTGACAGGGGGTTTCCAGTCTCCACAGAGAAAGAGTTCTCGGAGAAGACCGTAAGCCACAGCGCTACTGTGGCCCTGGTCCCAGCTCCCTCCTCAGATCCACTCAGTGTGTGCCCCAGAAATGCCCTAACCTGCATCTGGCATAGAGGGTGCTGTCTGCCAAGACATATCACATTTCAGAAAGGTTGGAATAGATACTCAGCTAATAGCGAAATAATCCAATAATAAACAGTATGATCAGTGAAGAAGTAAATGTGCCAAGTCATACTTGGTAAGTGCTCCCCACCCACTCGGTGTGTGTGTGTGTGTGTGTGTGTGTGTGTGTGTGTGTGTGTGTGTGTGTGTGTGTCTGACTAGGGATAGATCCCAGGGTCTCATACATAACAAGCACCGAATGATACATTTCTATACCTCATTTTAAGCATCATATGAGCACAGAGATTTTTTTTACAAGAGAGTGTGGGTTATGGAATACAAGTTAATGATCAGACTTTAATAATCTTAATAATAAAATTTACCCATTCATTAAACAGCAAAGAAAGATGCATGCTTAATACCAAAGTTTCTGCTATTATTAGGGTCCGTCAGTTTGTCTGTTTGTATGTTTTTGTCTTTCACCCCACATGAGCAGACAAGGAAGTTTTCAGAAAAGAGCTGGAAGGAAGGCTAAAACACAATACCGTTCAATCTACTAGATCTATTATAAAGTAAGAGCCAGCGAAGGCCACCACGGACCAATCTTAGAGGTGAGGGCCTCAGTGGGGGCTCTTGGGGGCTCTTTTGTTCTGAGAACACCAGTACAGTTATATTATATTTCTTTTTTATTTCCTGCCACAGTTACTGAGGCCGGACATCTTTGGTTCTCCCCAAGGTCACCCAGTTAATTATTCACACGGCATTCACAGTGATTTCCCACATCTCATATCCCAGAGGCCTGTGAAAAACAGAAGAGGGTCTCTATGTGCTGTGGTCTGGGCTAAGAGGGTCTTGTCGGAGTTCAAATACACCAGATGAGGAAACGTTTTCACAACTCAAACACACACACACACACACACACACACACACACACACACACACAGAGAGAGAGAGAGAGAGAGAGAAAGAAAAACCTCTTCCCACTGGTGATTTCAGGACGTACTCATTCTATCTCTATCTCTACTATTTCTCTCTCCCACCCCAGATCTGCAGGTTCCCAGTCTCCTCGAGGACCCCAGAAGGTGTGAGGTGCAGGTGTGACTTTCTTGGCACGGCCTGATGAGGAAGGGCTTGGGTTCTACCTCTCCTGTTCCCTCCTCCCAGCCAGAAACAGTTAATTGCCAGCTCGAGGCTGCCTCCAGCCCAACCCTAATCAGCATGATCTCAGGCTTCTGCACTGGGGCTGAAGCAGCTCCAGGCCAGGCCAGGGCTGTGTGGAGCAGGGAGAGCATTCTTCCAAGATAATGATTAAGCTGAACAGCACTTGGCAAGGGCACAGGCTGCTAAGCTAGGAAGGTGAGCCCTATTCACACCTCAGCCAGATTGTGGTGGCGAGAACTGGAGCGGGAAGGCAGAGCCCAGAGGTCTGGGGACCCCCAGCCACCCCCTGCTTGTGAGGGGCATCCGGAGCATCTCAGATCCAGAGGAATCTGTGCAGTCTGCCCTCCTGGGACTCTGATCACACCTCAGGCACCATGAAGCTCCAGGTGTTCTGGACTGGGCTGGAGTATACCTGCCGGCTCTTGGGTATCACTACGGCTGCAGGTAAGATCCTACCTTATCTATCACACCCTTGTTCAGAGGTACAACAGGGAAGGCTACAAGAGAAATGATTTCCAGCCAGGAAATGGTGGGCACATCTGGCCATAACTGCCCTTCAGGTGCTCTTTTGAGACCCTCAGACCCCCTTTACTGTGGGAAAGCAGCAGGTGCAGAATAAGTCTTAGGCAGCTGAAGAAGAGTGAGCCTTGGGTCTGGTGCTGAGACTCAGTGGGAGTCTGCTCTCGAGAGACCTTGGGAACCTTCAGCATCCTGCAACGAGCTGAGGGGTCTGCCCCCTGCCCTCAGAGGGTTATGAGGATAGCAGGTTGAGGTAGGGACTGGAGGTGAAGGTGTAAAGGACTGAAAAAACTGAAAATTGTACCATTGTGTAGTTATGAAAATGGTCACCTAAGTTCACCTTGCTGTGTTCAACAATAGCCCTATCCAATCAGAGAGAACCCCACTGACAGGGCAGCTCTGTCCTCAGGAGATGGGAGATGCACGGGGTATGAAAATGGTAGGCTTCCTCGGGCCCCCCCTCACCCTGCTGACAAATGCATTGTTGAAAACCAGCCCTTTGCTATGAGCCATCTGAGGAGTGGAGCTCACAGGACCAAAATTCACCTGAGCTGCTCTGCTAACTGAGATTTCAGATGGTTAGCAAAGAAATGACTTCAGGCCCTAACCCTGACCTTAGCCCTATCAGTCCAGAAGCAGAGAACCTCAGCTGAGGAACTGAACAGCAGTGTTTTGAACCCCTAGCTGAGTGTGCCAAGTCTCTTGAGGGAAAGGCTGAGATACAAATTAAATCCATTGCATATGTACAAAACCTTTCTCAAGATTCTCTCCCAATTGAAAGGTCCTCTAGTTCAAATCAAAGCCATGTGAGCCAAGCCTCAGGCCTTGCATGCATGTACAACCTTGGTCCAGCCCTGTGGAGCTTTGAAGCCATGCTTCCTGATCATGGTGATGGACTGATCTGCTGGCCAAGAGTTCTGGCAGATGCAGTGCTTAGCGAAACAACATGTGGACAGAGGTTCTTGGTAGATAACCTTGTGATATGCTACAGTATCAGTGGGGATCCAGATCATTCTTGGGGTACTACCTTGGGCTCATGGTCAACCAGCTATTGGACTCTTGTGGCACCAGAGCTATGAGTAAGAGCGGGCAAGGTCAAATTCCAGCCTTCCTGCTATGGGATGGAGCAAATGAACTCAGATTGGAGCCATGACCCTGCCAAGGTCACACAAGAAATTGGAGTATCGCTAGCCTCGAATGTTGGTGTCTGGATTTTCCAAACAGTGCTGGACAAAGCCTTCCCTGAATCCCCCGGTAAAAGAATTGGTCTGTTCAAACCTATGTAGACAGGCCTGGTGGAAGAGCCAGCTCTAGCTTCCCTCAGAACTTACATATAGGCAACGATCATAAAAGCCCTCAAGGAAACCCTAAAATCATCTCCATGACGAGAGTGTGAGTTATCATCTTCCCGGTGCTCCAAGTCTATTGTGTTCCCTCTGCACCTTGACTTTTAAATACAGACACTGTACTCTTCGGGCTACCAGGAATCTCAGATATAGAAAGCAGCCATACTCCACACAGATCGACTACCTCCGCCCTGCCAGGAAGCTGCTTAAGATGCATGTATCTGTCCTCCTAATGGACTACGGAGTCTAATCTATCTCAGCCTAAGAGTAGCCTTTCACTCCACATCCCCCGGCACACATGCACACTCAGCCGTATTGCACATCTGAATGACAACCTTCATCTTTGCAAAGGCTGCTGCTAATGCTGAAGATGGACCTCCTGCTTGGCTTTGATACAGATCCAGGCTAAAAATAGGCTGCAGTTGCCTTTAGGGCCAAGCTTTCAAAGAATAGCCCCTGGGCTCTCCAGAGTGCTGGAGCAAGTAAGAAACTAGAGAGGGCTCGGGCGCTCTCTAGCAGATCTCAGGTTTCTCCTGACGTCACTGGCCTTCGGGCCTCTGTCCAGTACCTAAGATTTGCAAATTCTTTATTCCCTTAAGCCTCTTTTATTGAAATCCTCTGTTGAAAAGTCCAGGTCCCTTGTAGGAACATTGTTGCTAAAGGGGGAATGAGATTTGAAATAGAGACCAACCAGCGTGTATGAGATGCCCTTGTACATAAACAACAAGGATTGTCCAGATGCTAGGCAGGGATGTGAACAAAGCCTCTCAGGGGGTGGACCCTGGAGACAGGCTCAGGGCTTTTAGACGCCAAGTACTCTCATGACACAGCAATTTCCTGTGGCAGTGGTTGAGGCATGCCCACTGACTGCCTTCGTGAAGCATTGCTCAGGCCCTATACTCCAAGTGGTTTTCAGGACAGACACAACAGTCAACACAAAACAAGCAAGCCGAAGCAGACAGACAGACAGACAGTACCTACTTAGAGTATTTTCAAAATGAGAAAATCCTGCCCCTTGGAACAGTCACGTGGTTTCTTAACCAACACACACACACACACACACACACACACACACACACACACTCTAAAAAGACCTTACAAAGCACTTCCCTGGCCTTAAAGGTCATGGGACATGAGGGCTGTGTGTGCAGTGTGTGAATGTGTGAATGTGACCTCTAAGTGCTCCTGTTCCAAGATGTTCCACAAGACCCTGCCCACAAGGCAGACACACTCAGAAACAGTGCACAGACCAAGAGGCCCTGCCCACCCTGTGCAGATGTGGGAGCATCTGTGTATCCATCCCTGAAAGCAGGCTTTCACCGCATTCACCCAAAACATGGCAAACATAGCCTGTATGAGAGCTTGAGAGTCAGTGTAAGTGATACCTTATAGTTTTGGTTGGTTGGGTTTTTGTTTTGAGACAAGTTCTATATTTAGCTTAGGCTAGGCTCAAATTTGCCACCTTCCTATTTTAGTCTCTGGGATTATAGATGTGGACTGTCTCACCCATCGTGTGATTGCTTTTAATACAAGCTGGGCATCAGAAAGGACCTGGTAAATAGATACTAAGTGGACAGGACTCTCAGGGCAAGGCACCCTGCTGCCTCATGGGAAGTGGCTGTCTAGTAGGATTCATCCCCAGCATTTGGACAGAGAGGCAGACCTACCCTCCTTTGAACTTGTGCAGTGCTTATTCTCAGGGATGTCATCATCAATACTTGCTAGTGCTTCCCAACCTACCTCAGAACAAAAGGTTTGTGCTAAAAGTTTATCCACTCACCCCACCACCATTCCTACCCACCCAGACCCTCACACCACCTCCACCCAATCTCTCTACTCCCTACCCCCAACCCCCAAGTGCACTTGAGCCCTCATTTGCATCTCTATTTTATTCCTGCTGTCTCCGGGTAATGGTAGCTGGAACTTTATCATGGCCAAGCTCTGTGCTACTTGTCTGCAATGCAAAACCTCATTCCATCATCTGTTCTACATACTAAGACCTCAGTACGCTCATCACCATAACCATCGTACAAGGGCAGACACTGAGGCTTGGTGAATTGAAGCACTCTGCTCAAGGTCTCCTCCAAGGAAGTAGGTAGGTAGAGTCCTGCTAATGGGTATCTATTCTTGATACCCCACTTTCAATCAGTGTCCTCTGCCTAAACCAGGGTTAAATGTTATGAGGGAAATGGACTGAGAAAAGCCAAGCTCCACACTCAGAACAGGCACCAGGGACTGGGTGGAGAATCACAAGAATTTGTGTATACTGACAGACTCAGGGAAGTAACCTCCCAAAAGCCCAATTGTCCCGATGCAGTTACCTGGGTTATAGCTAAGCAGTGCAGCACCATTCCTGACTTTTCTCTTTGTTGGTAGATTTTATAAGTAGCTGCAATTTAAGATAAGCCACTGTGGTTTTATTTCCCAATCAATTTTAGTCTTCTACCTCAAAAGGGCATGTTTCTCTATATTTTAATGACTCTAAGATGTAGGAAAACAAACAAACAAAAACAGAAAGAACAGTAGAGAGGCCAGTCAGAGCCCCTCCACTGTCTACTCTTATGACCTTACCCTGGGTCAGTCCGACTGTGCACAGGCTCAGTCTGGGAGTGGGGCTGGGTCACAGGCATGACTGTACTGCAGCAATAGTATAGTCAAGTTCACCAAGTGCTTTCCACTTTCCGAAGCTGAAGACACTAGTATTTAAGCTATCTGCTGGTTCTCCACTCTGAATAATCTAAGGACTGGACATAGCAGAACAACCAAAGAAATGAAGTGATGCCCAGGCAAAGTTATTGTGGACAACTTGCTTGTCAAACTAATGTCCTGCTTCTCCCAAATCAAGTGCTTGGAGACAATCCAGGAATCACTCAAAGCTTGTTTTGTTGCTTCTTTGTTTGTTTGTTTTGTTATGACCCATTAACCTGCTTCTCTTTTTAATAGAAACAACCACATTCTAAATAGCAGCATTCCTTACCACATACCCTTCAAATATACAAATGAATTACAAATATAGATGAGGACAAAAGCAGCATTTAAACCCCAGGTGTTCTCATTTCTCAATGGGCACAACAAGGTTTATGCTAAAAGTTTATCCACTCTGTCTTGGTAAAAGCATTCAAAAAAAGTAAATGTTTTCTAAGTAAACTGTCTAGGGCCCTGCAAGCTATTTTTTTTTCTAATTTTGTATATTTGTTTAGCTTTATTGTATGAATGTTAGCTTTGCCTATTTGTCTGCTCACCGTGTGCATGCCTGGTCCTGTGGAGGTTAGAAGAGGGTATGAGATCCCCTGAACAGGAATTACGGAGGCTCTAAGGCACTGTGTGCATGCTGGGAACCCACTCCCCCACCCCACCCCCATCTCCTGCAGGAGCTGCCAGTGCTCCTAGCTGCTGAGCCGTCTTTCCAGCATCTCCACCACATGTTAATTTCAACCATCTTTAAATGCAGATCTGCATGACCACCTCCTGCCCTTGAAGAAATCATGTACTCCAACATGTCTGCAGGGGAGTTTTGATCCAGTGAGGTTAAAACAAAACGTGTTTCTAGTTTTTCCAAATGAACCCCTTTCTTTTCTG